GCGCCGCAGTCAGACACCACGTAGTGATAGTCTGCATTGAAATTCCAGTGCTTTCTGAGTACCTCATCAAGAAGGTATTCATTCGCACAGGCTGGAATGCCGGAAACCGAATTGTACGAACACATAATGCTTCCCACATCCGTGTCACGCACGCAAGTCTTGAACGGAGCCAGGAAGTAATCACTCAGATCCTGCTGGGTAGGGTTGTAGTTATTACCATATCTGCCTGTCTCCAAGTCGTAGACCGCGTAATGCTTGCATGTTGCAATGACCTGCTTGTTCTTCGGGTCATCACCCTGAAGTCCAGGAATAAAATTGCGAATGTAATTCTGTGCGACAAAAGCATCCTCGCCGGGCGTCTCTTGCCCTCTTCCCCATCGAGGATCCCTGAAACCATTGATATTCGGGGCCCAGAAATCGAATCCCGAAAATCCGTTGTTGCCAAATGCTCGTCCTTCTTTGCCAATTACTTCAGCGATTTTCCGAATTAAAGCGTCATCGAAGGAAGCCGCTGTCAGGATCGGTGCAGGGAAGCTTGTGGCATAGCTGAAATTAGCTGGTTTGGAAGTGAATTGCACACCCGGTGCAGAGCCAACACCATGCGTTGCCTCACTCCACCACTCGTAGGAAGGCAAGCCGAGGCGGGCAGATCCGGCTGAAGCATCCACAAGATTCAGGATTTTTTCCTCCAGGGTCAGGGATTTGACAAGCGAATCGACTCTCTCTGCAATGCTCAATGAAGTATCACAGATAGGGTGACTGCCGAGGGGCTGTGTTTGGCACGCTGGCACGAATTTAGTGTTCACTCCGCCCCCTTGTGGATTCGAGATCTTATACAAAGACATACTAAATACAGTTCCACGATGTTAGCACCTTGTTCTCTTTTGAGTCTTGCATTTGACTTACACATAGCCTCCTCCACATGAGCTGGATGGTTCAGTTGCGCATTTCGAGTTGCAGCTGCTGTCATCTGTCTTGGTCGCGAGGCTGAAATCGGGCTCACTCCCACAGAAACATTGTCTATTAGGGGTCATCTTGAGAATCAACAGTTCTATCGATTAAAAGACAGTTCGCTTACGTTCCAAACTCGATGCCACCATAAGCAAAACCTCGTTGACCGCACCAGTTGGCACAGTACTGAGGCGTCATACCAATGGTGCTAAGTTTCGCTGCCGTCAAAATGCTCACTTTGGGATCTAAGTAACACCCAACGTAGCTTTTTGAGGCATCGTAGGCTACCTTCGATGCTGAATTGTCAAAATTGGAGACAGATGCTGCGTGGACGCCGGTGTGTACTGCTATGAGAGATAGCAGTACTGTTGCACCAGCGCGAAAGGGCTGAGATGGTGCCATGATGGTTCCCTTCCAATTTCTGCGCCCAAAAACACAGGAAACTCGTAGTCTTTAGCCAGGAAAGATTTATAGGATAATAACTCACTCTCCAGGGCTTCGATGAACAAGCCTAAGTGATTGCTGGATACTTAAATATGTACTGCTGCATATTGAAATCCCTGCTTAAAGAATTTCGTTATCGATCACTAGGCTAAATTACGGATTTCATAATTAGTCGGATATACTCCGACTCGAGGCCCGGGATGCTTCTTCTTGGCTGGTCTTGAAGATCTCCGGTGTGGAACGAGGGGCAGGTAACAATTCACTCAGAACGGGCCATCGGTTGTCTTCCCCACATACTCCGGTGACAGGCCCGGGACTATACGTTGACATAACACCAATGCCAGCGCATAACACACCCGTACAGATTCTAATTGTCGAAGAATAATTATTAAAGTGCTTGATGGAAGCTTCTAGATTATTGTTTTATTGCAGAACTTAGTAACAAACCCGTAGTACGAATTTCAACTCGAATTGGAAAGCGGGGAATATCGCCAAGGGAGGATGGCACCCTGGTCAAAGCACTCACGACGGAGAAGCAAGGAAAGAACAAGGTGAGCGCCTAGGATAACATGCACTACAGGCAGTGATTGACATGACTATTTGCCGAAGAAGACCCTGGAAAAGCTTCCCCGCAAAATCTGACAATCCTGGCGGCAATTGGACCCTTAGGAACCGGCGCGTCTGTGGGTATTTTCACGGTAGTTACTTCTCCGTTCTTTCAAACCGAGACATTATTCAAGGTGGCGGAGATTGTCCGAAAGCTTCTAGAAGATCTTCCAAATCTTGTCTCAAACTGGTGCTAAATTGAAAAGCCCGGGCCAGCAAGTGATCTTTACAGGTAAGCAGTAAGCAGTGAGCGGCATCTGGAGGTGCCGACGACACTGTACCCCAGCTTGTACCCCGCCTAAACTATGGAGATTACTGAACCATGAAAAGTCAATTGATTTCATTAGGCTAATATAAACCTAAATGGAAAGATCGTCCATTCCGATCATAAGTTATGCATGCTCGCCTTTAGCCTGAATCTCAAGGTTACAATGCTTGTCTTAGAACTAACGGCTAAACGTTTGTGCAGCGAAGGATCAGGGCTTCAACGACGTTGAACCTTCTCAACACGGATATTTCCCTGATTTGAACTGTAAGAGAACCTGGAGTCACCGCACATATATCAAAAACAATATAAATACTACGGCGAAGATTTGGACGAGATGCTTGAAGCCCAAAAGGAAAGAGCCCAATTGGGATAGCTGCAGTCTAGGAGCTTTCTCATTGATATACCCGATTTGGAAATATGCTCACCAAGCTTTTGCTCCTCGGTCTGGCCGGCCTAAGTTGTGTGGAATCGGTCAGGCCTCCCTTGAACCCACCACCACCACCTCCCCCTCCTCCACAAAAACCACCAACACCGCCACCACGGCCGTGGTCCACTTTTGCGGAGAATGTCATCTATCAACCTGACTCCAAGCACTCTGTTCTCTATCCCCGGCAAGTCGAACTATCGGATGGAAGTCTCCTTGCGACAGCTTCGTTTGCGGGCGATAAAACTCCATACTTCCCCATATTCCAAAGTGCAGACGGTGGTGCTACCTGGTCCTGGATATCCAACCTGACTGACCAGGTGAATGGATTGGGAATGTCAGCCCAGCCTGCGCTGGCAGAGTTACCATTTGCTGTTGGCGATTTCCCTGCTGGCACGGTTTTGGCCAGCGGAAACAGCTGGGGAAGCAAGAGCACGAACATTGATATCTATGCTAGTAAAGATAAGGGTCATACCTGGAAGTTCGTCAGTAACGTGGCGAGAGGCAGTGGGCCGGATACTACCAATGGAAATCCATGCATTTGGGAGCCATTCATCGAGTGAGTTGTACTCTGCCCATGTTAATTTTTGTTCCAGGCACTGAACGCGGGAATTCTAGATTTTTCAACCACACTATCGGCGTGTTCTACTCCGATCAGCGTGACCCCCTGCACGGTCAGAAGCTTGCTCACCAGGAATCGGCGGACTTGAAATCCTGGGGACCCGTGATAGACGATGTGGCCTATCTCAACTATACTGCTCGTCCTGGAATGACCATCATTTCCTATATCCCTCCTCTGGAGAAGTGGATTTTGGTGCACGAGTTCCCAGGAGGAGACAGCTGGTCTGGGGTGGGCTATCCGGTCTACTACCGAATGGCCGACAGTCCATTTGATTTCCGCTTTGCCTATGGTATCCCCATCATGGTTGATGGAGTCCAGCCCAACGCATCTCCTTATGTGGTTTGGTCGCCATCCGGCGGTGATAATGGAACTATCCTCGTTAGCGACGCTGACCACAGTGGTGTTTTCACCAATCAAGCCGGTGGCCAGCCTGATCAGTGGGAATTGCATGACACACCTCAGGCTCCGGCATACAGCCGGAGTTTACATGTCTTTGAGAAGTATCCCGATCATTTGATGATCCTGGGTGCAGGCGTATTTGATGCAACGGTAAATCTGCCGCTTTATCTCAGCGTTGTGAGCGTAAAAGATACCTTGAAGAAGCCAGCCGGGAAATAGGGAAGCTTTGCTGGTCAGAATGATCAAGCTGGTCGAGAGTGACTAAACCTTGAATAGCATAAGGAGAGATGGAATCTTAAGATAATAAGAATCAAAGTTCCGAGAGATATCCTAGCACTAAGCAGATTTCACTGCCCGTAACCCCTTTTCTCTAACGATATATCAAAGCATGCGCAACAATTGAAGCAGTCCCTTTCTTCTTGATTGGAGTGCTGTTAGCCAAAAATTGGATATGCGGGCCTTGTTTGTGAATGTGCTGTCAATTAGTCCCGAAACGCCAAATACCACAGCAATGTCATGGAATATTCTGAGATCAAACTCAATTGCAGGGATTACGTTGCCCCATGAGCTTGACATATGGTTACCCGGCAAGGCAATCGTCCATTCACAAATTCTGGCTCATGTCCTAACTCGAAATAATTCAGAAAAAAGCTCTAGCATGACTCGACGGAAATGACCGCTACCAATCTATCGGTATTTGGAAGGTTTTGGGGGCGTTGGGGGCCAAAACCATTCTTCAAATGGGAATATTAGACGATTCTCCTGGAGCCTAGGAAATGGGCGTTCGAATATGAAGCAACAATTTTTACACGAATGAAAAGTCGCTTCTTTGGTCTTATACTGTCTTTTAAATACCTATTTGTATCATTTTTATATTAGCCATTCGAGGGGAATGCTTGAGACGTGATTTTGTGTCAATCATTTACTCCACGAATAAGTGGAGCTTCCTGCAGACACTGCCTGGTTCCTGCGGCGTGCCAGTGGGCGACAATTTATTTCTTCATGTTATACGTAGCAAAGTACGTACAGGTAAACTTGCATGTTCGGGTCTACGTAAATAACTACGAATAAGGCAGTTTGTAATCAAATGTGCATGATACGAGAAATCTGACAAATCAAACATCAATTCGCTTAATTGCATGAAACATCTATGATGGTTTTCGCTATGTAACAGGACGTGAAAAGAAAAGAAGACAGTCGCCAGACGGCCACCTGGACAAGAAACATCATGATGTTCCAAGGGGCGCATCAACTTGGAATTTAACCATCCATGATAGCTAGTATCGTTATTGTCCAAAGCCATTGGCTATGGGCAAGCCCTTTTCCTTCATGATATATTCTAGCTTGGTAGCCGATTGCTGTAATTCCTCCTGACTGGGCATATTCACAATGACCAAATACTGCACATTGGGCTGCAGAACCTTCTTCATTGAGTTCAGGCTCCTAATATCCTTCCCAAAGTGCGTCCACCTTGTATCATAGTTTGATTCAATCGAATCCGTACTCCGAGTAGCTCGTTTGGCCTCTTGAGCTTCCTTGATGGAAGCTGCAGCACGATGGATCAGTCCCGGCTTGCTTTTGTTTCCCAGCCTTCCACCTGTAATGGCCGATATGAGCTTGCCATTATGTGCTGAGTGGATGGTGTCATTTTGATGCGGGTTTAAGCATTTTAAGGTATGTCCGTACGACATTCGTGAAGCATTTGCCTTCTGTTCCTTATCAGCAACCAAAACAAAGCCGAATATGATGTGGAGATGAGGACAAATCTTACTTCTGACTCTAATTTCCTTCTCTCATATTGATCACCAATCCAACCACCTGCCGCCTTCAGCATTTTGTGTTTCTCCTTGCCGCCTGGTCGTGCTCTCTCCGTTCTCTCTGTTCTTTCGGCGACCCCCACGGCAGCGCAATCTAAATCGGGAAACACCAACGGCCTAGATTCGGGTAACTCGATCTGAAGAGAGACATTGTTTCGAGAAGCTTTCGAGTTGCGCTTCATATTTTCTGGCTGGAAAGAGCTCGCACTTGCATCCTTTTGGTTGGCTGTACCCTCATAGAGATCGGTGCTTGATTTGGGGCTCATAGCCGACTCGGTCAAATCGAGCTTCTTGGAAGCGAAAATGGTTCTTCCCATTTTCTGGGAAAGAGGATTGAGCAGGCCCTCTTGCGGACCGAAGACACTATCCTTGAACTCCACGACCATAGCACAGAGGCCCCGAGGCATAAATATAAACTCGTTGGCCGAGTCCAGGAAGGTTGGCTCACGACCAGGGTATCGCGACCCAGGAATTGACCCAGCCACTATTTTCATGAGCGTTTCGGTCATAACATCTGTCTTTCCAGGTACCCAGGTAACGATATCCGTTGCGATACCGATAACTTCGAGGCTTCGAGAGACCTAGTTCCGACATTAGCATTCTTGTTTCTTACATTTTACCAAAACACTCAACCAACACTCACTTTACTTGACTGGTAAATGTCTTCCAGAAACTCCAGAAACATGTCCTGGCTGATGCCGCAATCTGCCAATTCAGGTGCATATGCGCGTACGAAACCGCGAAATTTCGACCCGGGCCTGCGTTGTGGAATTACCACGGGACCCGGGATCTGGCTTGTGGAGGAATTTGGCGGCCCTGCCATATCCAGAAGATCGCGAACCATATTTTCGATTTCTTGTCGCTCCTTCTCTCTAGCTTCGCCGACCTTGTTGTCTGCTGGCACATTTGAGACATGACTGGGCGGATTTCCCGACTCTTCGTATGCCGGGGGTCTCGCGTATCGTGTTTTCTCATCCAGTGTCCAGACCGCTTCATCTTGGTCAATGCCGCGATTGAAGTCGGGAGAATAATTTGACTCGCTGTACGCGTCCCAGTTATCTCTTTCTACAGGGGAATATTTGGTATCGGTCCCATCGACTGCGTGAGGTTCTTCGATCTTCTTGGTGTCGATATCTTCATATGAAACACTTGGAAGCTCCGCATAATTATCATGAAGCTGCGTTTCGGGTCCAAGAAGCTCGGCATATTTTCCGTCCGGAATGGAAAATGAGGCAGGGAGTTCTGCATATTGTGTGTGGACAGGGGGCACATCGGGCGCTGGAAGCTCTGCATATCCTTCGCGGATGAGCGCGCCGGCTACCTTGTCGTCTGCAATGACAAATTCACCGCTCTGATCAGCGGTAAGTTCGCGTTTTGTAGTTGGATCGTGGCTTGAGTAGGAAGATGAGCGATTTCGAGCTGCATTGATGGCGTCGATACTCGAGTCGATCAGTTTGACGACCAATTTACCCATGTTTGAATAGTAAGTGTTTGAATAGTAAGTGACTTGCAGGTCTGGGGAATCTAGTGAGAAAGGTGGATGGATTTTCTTCAGATCTTAACCTGAAAATCAAACACCGCATTTCTATTTTCAGCACAGCTATAACTTAGCTCCCCGATCAGCGAGGACCGCAGCATGGGCTGTTCACTACGCTAGCCATGCGAATGGCCGCAATGCTAACTTAAATAAGTTACGATCACCTGTTGCACTTTAGGGCAGTTGGGCCCACTTTTGTCGTGGACCCAACGCCGCTATCTATGGGATACGTCTCTTGCATCAAACATGGCCCCCAAATTACGAGGCCCGCATGAGGGGTTAGCCATTTTAAAGCACAGACGATGAAGGTGTGATTTTTTTTCATGAACCAGAGACCCAGTACCATGGAAGAGCTGCAAAATTTTGGGGGGAAAAACTTGTCCACATGTAATCGCGGTATTCACCTACCCTACGCGGTGTCGCTCAGGTAGAACTAGTCCGAAAGCCACGGTACTCTCAGACGAGAAAGCACCACCTTTACCCTAGTTATCTGGGTGCTCATGGCACCTCGTAATGTATACCGAAGCCGGTATCTCACTAGAATTGAAATGTCAACATGATCATTATCATTATAATGTACTAGCCGTAACTTGTAAGAGATTTGCTTTCTACCGAATGAGATTGCGAATTGAAGAACAGAAATGAATTCGTGAAGCTGCGCTAAAAGCTAAAATAATAATAATAATAAACGCCAATCACAATGCCCAATGATGATACCAGAAAATGAGAATTATCTAAGCCATCTCCTCTCTCAATTCAGTCTCCTTGTTTGGAACGGACTTCCAGTTCTTTTCTCGAACATGCAAGGTAAAACCAATACTCAGGCAAACGAAGACAATGATAATCTCCTCAATTACAGACATCACCAGCTGAACAGTGGTGTTTCCGTCCAGGGCGTTGAATGTATTGTTTGCCATGAACCAGAGCAAGATAGCGTAAATGGTTCGAATAAGGAGAAACGGAACACAGATAGCCACAGCGAGCAAGTTGCGGTTTTCGCCAGCTGCGATCTTTGAGCGACGCAGACACAGGACGGCGAGACCAGCACACAAAAGGACCCAGCTGACAAAGTACAAGATCATGCCAACCTTCACTTCAGTGTTTGGCGTTTTTAAGGCCTCGGGAGTCATGTTCCATGTAATTCCAGTCACAGTCAAAGCCAGCGCGACGATGGTGGTGACACGGAATGCAGTGAAGGTGAGTCTGTGGAGGACAGGGCGGGCCATGGATTGGTTTGCCCTTGATAGCATGCCTGAGCAAGCCATGAGTAAGGGAGATAGTCCAATGGAGCTGCAGATCGCAGCCGCAATGTAGACACCAGTCGAGTGATTATGGATAGTCGCCAATTCACAACATGCGCCGACTATGCGGACAAAGGTGAAAATGACGAGGAAAATAAAGCCGCCCGAGCTTCGAAAGCCATGACGGTAAACCAGGAAGCTGGACACGAAAAATGATGGGAGGTATGCGATGAGCTGAAGGATAGAGACGCCGTCCGCGTATGTGACTGAGCCCATGATGAGTGTGTATTCTGAGTATAGAGAAGTGGAGTTGAGTGAAGAGGAGCGAAGAGGAGTGATGATTATTTTTTTGAAGATGTCTGTGCAAGGTTGCAGAAAGCTTGGTATTTCTTGTTCTTATATACACTGGGTGAAATTACAGGTCAAAAAACTCTTCAGCAATGCCATCACAAAAATAGAACTTTAACGTCAAAGCGTGTATGTGCAATATGACGATCAAGGCTCGTTTGCAAGGCGATAGTGCATCTCCGCAACTAACTTGGGCTTAACGTTGAGTAGAGTGGAGGCTTAGGATCAAGCCCCGACCCGCTTATCGAAGCAGCTCTCCAGGGATCCTCTACGCTCATTCGCTCTCGCACTGCTGTATCAAAACGGGTTACGATCTGCACAGCTAGTCTGGGAAGAATCAACAAGCTCGACGTGGGGGCCAAACATCGAATCCCCCACCGAGGCTTAGAGTGGTAGATGATTCAGGACCATGCTAGTTTCCGGTTCTTATCCCAGCCACTGGACCAGATAAATTGACACTGGCCTATGAGAACTTTCATGCGAGAGATTCAACTATTTTTGGCCCTTTCCGCCCCTTCGAACTGATGCAAACTTGGAAATTAGCCGTTACTCCACATAAAGTCTGATACCTTCGGGTTCAGCAGAATTCAATCCAAGGCCCAAAAAATAGAAGAGGGTTCCAAGATGCCCAAGCCTTATGGAATAAGCGAGAAAGTCAAGGAGAGGAGATGTTGGCATATAGTGACCCGCGACCGAACTGCCTAAAATGGTACACTGGTCGGTCTTTACCACATAAGGCTGAGAAGTAGATACTACGGTGGTTGACTAGTAGTAGTTGATTCGATTCGCGGTATTCCGGGGAATGTCACCGGCACCTCGACGACTAGTATAGAAAGTCAGTCTTCTTGCTGCATGCATAATAATTCCGGTCTTGATTTCAAGGTTGGAATTGATCACCTGGTCTATAATTTTATCCACATTCTGATCGCGTCAACATCCGACCCAGTGCAAGAGTTGGCAGCGTGTCTTCAGCACAAGTTGATCAAGAGTAGCTCTAGCAGTATCAATACCACATATGATGGTAACGAGATTGATTTCCCAGTCGACCGGCCCATTTTAATGTATATGTCCCATGATATTATCATTGTCTCAGTACTCACTGCGCTGGGTCTGGATCATTTCAAATATAATTCGCAGGGGATGCCACCTACTGTCGCACAGGAACTACGTCGCAACTTCAAATTGAATGAAATGACCTCTTTCGGTGCTCGTCTGATTTTTGAGATTTGGACGTGTCCCCGTGACGATTCGCTGAAGGATCTTCGGACTCAGTTGTACAAGAGTCCGGATCTTTCGTCGTCCAAGAACGAGACGGTGGACTATATCCATCTTGTGCCGAATGAGGCCCCTCTCCCTCTTGATGGCCTCTCTGCCTGTAAGGACTCGGTGAATGGATTTTGCAACGTCAGAAACTTCCTCAGCCAGGTGTCTGACCTCACTAAAGAGGCGCAGTACCAACAGACGTGCTTCGGCAAATACAATGCTTCGACTCCCGTGGGCAATGGACAACCTCCTAGCTTCAAGATATGGTCTCATTGTCTCGTGATATGATTGTACATTTGGATTCCGGCGTTATGCCTTTTCAGGTATGCAACGGCCGCAAGGTGATCCGTCGACGCGGTGCCGTCGCAGTGCAGAGAAGAAATCTCAATCTCGAGTTGTCGCATCTGTTTCTCCAACGCAACTGTCTCCTTTGTACCGCAATGAAGCTCCATCCTAGCTGCAGCGGCTGCTTCATCAATGACGTCGATAGCACAATCAGGAAGGGCTGCTCTGGTAAGAAATGTGTTGCAAGATTGGCGGCTGCGATAAATGCATCGTCATGGATATTGAAGTTATTTGTAGCTTCCAAGTTGTTCCTCATCCTCCGAATGAGAGAAACTGTCTGAATTATAGAAGGTTGGGTCGTCAGGACAGGGTAGAACAGATCGTTGGAAGAAATGGCCTCGTTAAATTCGTCTGACGTAGTAGTGATAAGGCAGCGAATTTGTCCGGCGCCTAGCGCAGGCTCGAGAAACTGGATAATATCGACTGTATCCTCATCACCACCTTCCATGTGTCGACAGAGAATATCGATGCATAGAATCACTGGTTGATCGAACAAGCTTGTAACATCATAGATGTATTTGCATCGCCTGTTCAAGGCCCCAGGTCCAGTTTCCAGGAATTTCTTTCGCACATGTAGGACTTGAGATCGGTCGAGCTCAGAGGGAACCTTCGAGCTGAGGATGGATGAAGCCAATACATCTGTGATGAACTTTTTCATCATGTCCGACTTTCCGCCAATGATCGGAGTCTTTTTCAAATTGCGGCTGAATATTCGTATTACTTCCCTCGCATCATTATAGCCAACAGGATGTGCGGGAGGACTTCCCGGAACTTCAAAATCGTTTCTTGATTAAACTTGACATTTGAAGTCACATTCGCAGAAGTCGTACTAGTATTTCCACTTGTGTCGAGGCACTTCGTTGATCGTATCTCGAGAATCGCTTCCCTTATCAAACTAGGACTCAAATTCGCCGATTGCCTCAGAACAGCCTGGATCTCATTAACATCGACAACAACGTGTATAACATGATCAATAAAAACCAACTATTGACTGAGATCTCTGCTTCGAGTCTCAGATTACATCACTTTTGCGCAGGCCGCTGATATAGGGGATAATCCTGCGAAGCCACCTCTCGTATTGGCACTTTGTCCAAAAGGAGTTTCAGTCCATCAATAATGTCGTCCGGATAGCCCCCCCCCGCTTGCGCTATGACTTGTTCAAAGATAGTATGACGCGGTCTGGATCGTGTCTGACATTTTGATGCCTTCATCGTGAGAAGGGAATATGCCAGGTGAGCTGGTTCGATCTTCTTAAATCCTCCCCTTTTCGCAATATCACCAGCCCTTAAGAGAACCTTGTTGGGGGCGTCTGTATATTCTGCTGAAGCAAGTGCCATCGTGACTGAAGACTGAGTGAACAACTAGTAGATTCCATACCTATTCAAGGTCAAGATGGGTGAACGCTGTCAGATTCCTCGCGTTATCTTGAAAGTGATGAACGCTTTTCGTGGGGCTGAATAGCAACCAATCATGCAAATAAATATCTACTACCCCCGCCTTTTGTGATGTACCGCTTCTCAAGGAAGATCAATGGAAAACAAATCAGCAGAAAAGTGGAACATTCAAGTTCATGGTGTATCCTGGGTAATTTCGCACAAGGAAAGCCAAAGTATCAACCTTGATATTAAAATACGAATAGTATATGAACACTATACAAAAGACCACACCAGATGACTCGATAAACCGACTTAGAACCGCGGAAAATAGGACAGTCGAACATGCAGAGTATGATATGTATTAATGCCGGAAGAAATGTGAAAATCAATCACAATCACAATCACAATATGAACATAGCCAGACAAGACTGGATGGAACTTGGCATCAAAATGCAGAAGAGAGATAAACAACGAAATGAAGATTAAATCAAAAAAACCAAAATCGACAAGGACTGGGGGAATCATGACGTGAGAGGTGCGAACGGGAGGGAAGAGATAGGCTGTAAATGCATTCATTCATGGCGGTTGGGTTGGATGTTCAGGGAAGGATGTATTTTTTTGTCTTTCACTCGGAGAGAATGTTGAAAGATAATTCATGTACGGGGAATGGAATTTAGAAAATCATGAAACGCTTCTGTTTTGGTTTCTCGCCATCTAAAGGAAACATGGATGTCAGTTTAAATCCATTTATATGGAGTTGTATATTCTTCGCGGAGGACTCACCTTGGCCTTTATCCTTTCTGAACCGGCCATGCCGAGCTGCATTGACGGGGTTTGCACCGTCGGCGGCAGCTCGGATGGCAGCAATGCGGTGCTTCGCACGCTCATCGCCTTGATCGGCTGCCTTGACGTACCAGACGTTCGCCTGGAGGGGGTCGCGCCGGCATCCGATACCCATTTCGGTGAAGTAGCCGACGGCATATTCAGCCTTTGCGAGACCAAGTTCCGCAGCCTTAGCTGCCCATTCATATGCCTCATTCTCATCTTTTTCAAGGACTGGTTCAGCGCCGACGAGGTACCACGCACACAGAGCCATCATCGCCAACGGGTGACCGGTCTGCGCGGCGGAGGTGTAGAAGTGAATACTGAGAGCAGGATCACGGGGACAGTTCAATTTGCCGTGTTCGTAAGCATCGCCCAATCGATACGCCGCTTCCTGGTGACCCAATTCCGCGGCTTTTGTGAATAATTGAGCAGCGTAGGATTCGTCGACAAAAACGTCATCACCGTAGCCTGTCTCATGCATGAGGCCCAGTTCATAGGGCGCCGCGTTATACTGTGCATCCGAAGATTCGGTCGCTCGCTTCATCCATTTGATTCCCTCTCGATACCGTTTTCCTAGTCCCATATCTCCTGCCAAACAGGCATTGGCCATGCGCATCATCGCTCCGGGGTGGTTTTTCGACGCGGCTTGGCGGTAGAATTGCACAGCGCGACCACCATCCGCACGACAGCCCCAACCAAATTCGTAGCACAGCGCTGTGCGATAACACGCCTCCACATGGCCGTGTTTGCTAGCAGCGACGAAAAGGCTGAAGGCACGGTCTTGGTCTGGCTTGCCCTTGTTGAAGAGTCCGGACGCATAGCCGTCAGCAAGGTAGTACTGTGCGAAGGGGTAGCTGCGATCTGCGAGCCGTTGCAGGATGGACTTTGACTCGCGCATCAGTCTGGCGCGGGTGATCGAGCTAGAGTCTTCGAGGTCGACAGATGGCATGTCGCGCATGGAGTTGATCATGAATACGGCGAATTCGTAGAGCACTGCGGGTTCGTCTGTCTTTTTCACGTTTGCCAGGTACATCTCAAATGTCTGTTTGTGGCTAAGTAAGGAGGCATTGTTGCCGACTGATGCGCGGAGAGAGCTATTGTTGAGCTTTGATGCTCCTGGGCCTGGTTGGGGATAGGAGGTGTTGAGGAGATCCAGGAAAGACGAGGAGCGATTGTCGTGGGATGCACTGGAATTCCTGGACGATGATCGTGCATGCATGTACGGGGAAGCTGAGAGGTTGCGACGGTGTGCTCCAGGGGCGAGGTCGGAGCTGGAGGAATGATTGGAGAGTGGGCGGGTGATTCTTGAGCGTCTGACGGCGAGTTTATCTGTAGAACTCGACGGATTGTCTGGTAGAATCATACCCGGGGTTGATTTTCGCTTGCTTTGTGGGGTTTCCGGTTGCTGGTGGTGATATGCCAGAGGTTCATGGCTGTCCGCTGCGAGAGCGACGCTTTCCAAGCTGCCACGAGAGGAACTGCTGTGGCTGAGATCATGGTGTTCGAGCGAGGCCGCACTCTTCTTGGGGTTCCCCATCGTACCATCCTGGGCATGTGGCTCGATCACCGACCAAGATCCGCTGCTGGCGGGAGTATGGCCATATGGATGGGGATGCTGCATGGATTCCCTGCGTGGCGGGTATGTTGGGGACCATGTCTGCTGCGGTTGTGCAGAATCGTCGATTGACATGCCGGCGAATTCGGGCAGCTCTAGCTGGGGAGTCGGGGGACCGTTGTGAAAGTGTTCAATGGGGGCTCGTGAAGCGGACGGAAGGCCAATGCCATAGTCGATTTTCACAGGCGACCGGGGGGGAATCTTGGATGACGGGGAGATTGTCGGTGGTCAAGCTCTTGGGCCTCGGAAGGGGATTGCGTGGAGTGGATTGCTGAGAGGGGAAAGGAGGTGTCGATCGGAGATAAGCTGGAGGTGGAGTGGGAATGGACGGATACTCTGCGACCGGAGCAGCCATGGCGAAGAGTAAATGGGGCAGTATCACGATGAAGAGACGGAGGGCACGAAGTAGACGAAGTAAAGCTAGCAAACTTGAAGAAGCGAAACGAGCGTGGAGGTGAACGCAGTGGAAAAGCGAAGGTGAAAGCGAGCGAGGGTCTATTGCGGAGACATGGAGATCCAAAATCCTCGCCGATCACGGTGGAGCAGCCGGGTGCTAGGGTATGATCGTGCGAGATATGTCGTGTAAACAGTCACAGTGTATTGCGATGTGGATATTGGTGCAAGAATATAGTGACTAGGTAGTAGGTGGGTGAGGGAAGAGAGGAGGAGGAGGTGAAGAAGAAAAGAAGAGGAAGAAGAAGCGAGTGAGTGACCTCCGCCAGTTGAAGCGAGGGGCAAAATACTGTTTCACCTGAAAGACCACCACTAGTAGGTAAATAGTAGTAGATGAGATCAAATAATTATAGTGCAATACTAGTATATAATATAGAATATTTAATAGGGGAGAAAATATTGAGTACTTCGGTATGATATAATATCCTCCAGTACTATACTGCCAGCCCTGGTCAGGTGAACCCTTCCGAGTCTTCTCCAGACTACTCCTCCTACTCCTACTCTATCCATGGATTCTATTAATATATTGGTGCCTCAGGGCATCCCATCTCCAGATTTTCTCGTATCGCCTGGGGCTGAACATCTATTCCCCTCGTATGTTCCCGTCTCCAGTCTCCACCAACAGCGCATGGCACCTGGTATACGAGCCCCGGGACGGTTTCCTTGAGGCTGATCCTCATTTGGATACCCTACGATCAGATTCAGCTTGTTCACTGCCCAGGCTACTCTCTCCAAATTTCTCCTCTTTCGTCTCGTCTCGTCTCTTCTCTTCCCCTCCATTCCCTTCCTTCTCTGCTAGTACATTGGTGGATCGCGGATCGGTGGAGTCGACTAGGCACAACTCTACTTCTGCCCTCTCCCCAGTGCTAGTCGCAACGGGGAATAGACTGCATCCCGCTGCCATCCTCCAACCAACTACGACTCAGCATCAATTCGCTAGCCCTGTCCGCAGTCACAGTCGCAGCCGCACTTCAACTGGCGGTGGCAGGAGACCGCAATTTAGGCTCCGGCATATCCGCCGTGGTGGCACGTTCTGAATCATGGCCAATCCAGTCATCCCCAAATCCTTTCTCTTCCTTTCTCCAGTCACGGAACTTTGGCCCTGGGCCACGTCTTACCGCTGAACAAAGTCATCACACTCACAGCGGTAAGAACATCCACCGGAAACCTTGGGGATTCGAGGTTGAATTGACTTTCTCACGGCCCTTGGACTCGCACGGCCCGAACCACGGACCGCGATGGCGATATTCTCCTTGCTGCTTGCTCGTATGCGCCGAGCCTTGAAAGTGTCTTGTCTTGGCTGATTTCTTCAGCTGGATGCCACTGGAGTGGTGGTAAATCACGACAATCGACGTGATACTACGCAGTCACTCAGTCACTCAGTGCCTCTCTCACTGTCTCCCCTCTACGGAGTACTCGTACAATTATCCTACATTACGAGTCCAGTAAATACAACTAGAACGTGGCCATGCATGTAGTCATGGCTAAGACGAACCGAACCAGCAAAGAACTTGAAGCGATCGTTTCACAATCCTGGCTGCCAAGATTGCGCCGCGTCTGATACGTCCAGGCAAGCACTCGTATACGGAGTAATATTATGCGATATACGGTATAAAGACTGCGGTACCGAGGAGCCCGAGAATATTGGCGAGCACCCAGACCTACCTACACTATCTCTCACGTTATACAGTGTGCATCGAATCTGATACGATACATGTCAAGCAGCGGGGATCGCCCGCCATGCCGATCCCATCGTGGGCGCGAGTCTGAGCACAGGGGTATGCGGGTTTGCCCCGGATTTCCCCATCTGCGTCCCTCGCAGGGATATTTCGATAAGTTTGATAGTTGTGTTTTGGCCTCGTCTAAGTCTGTATGTAGAGGATGGACGGAGCAGTAAAGTAAGGTACGGCATCAATTATCATTCCGGTGTCCACTGTCCAGCATTTATTGCACTACGGTGTACAAGTACAGTACCTACAGAGTAGGGAGACAGTATTGGGTATGTCATTTCGGATGTGACAGATTCGCGATCGGAATGCGAGCCGAGTCTACATAGGTACGAGTACTCCGTACATGCAGGTGTGCAGGTTCCCTTTGACGGCTGCCCAACGCTGTAAGGCGAGTGCATATTGCTGAGACTAATGCTCGGAAATATCGCCAATACAGTCTGGCACGTAGGTTCTAGATCCTACACCCTGCGTACTGACATGCCCTGCTCGAGTCAAGCACTCTGTATAACGGTTGCAAGACGCCCACGGCGCAAAACACCGTACTTGCTCTACTTCGTACTTAGCTTAGCTTAGCGTACCGTAGCGCCTAGGAAAATTGGAATGGCCCCCGTAACCGTCGTGGAGAGGGGAAATAAAAGTAAAAATAAAAATAAAATAAAATAAGCCCTCGGCTGGATATTCCCCCAGTGAAAGCGGGTGCCCGGGCGGGAACTCTACTATTGGTGCATGCCGGTATACAGTGACAATCAGTACCTGACTCTATGCATCTGAGTGATTTGTGAAGCGCCGGGGAATTGTATTATACCTATTATAGTTGAATAGAGCATGAGGTATGCCACTGTCTTTAAGTTCTGGTCAAATGCGTTCTATTCTTGTCTATTTTGAGAGTGGCAAGGAGACTCTATAGCTTCGGTGCTAGGATCCATGGATGGACTTGGGATGGACTGCAGTTCCTTGGTCGCCATTATTTATAATGTGCTACTATAGATAACTACTCGTACTAGTATGTACAAGGGCACTGCAAATTTGCAAATTTCGCCCACTCTGCCACTCTGGGTGTTACTCCGTCGGACCCTTCTAGCCTGGCAGTGCTAAAGTGCAAGGCTAGACCCGAGATGGTTTGGCGCGAAACGGGGAGGGTGTAACCGAGGAGGGGCGATGATTTGCTGGGGCAAGGGACTGGGATTGTCCCTAGAGACGGGGCGAGCAACCCAGAGGGAAAGAGAAGATCGAGGCAAAGGGGCCTCACATGGAAGAGATAAAATAGGAGAATTGGGCTGTAGTTAGATGCACCAACCCTAAGGCATACTAGTACACGAGTAGACTACCATGTACACAGTCATCTAGTTATGCATGTATAACGGAAAAGTGAGACTGTCACGGGACTCTCCCCGGTCGCACCTGCCTTTGTTTTTGCACTGCATCGCTCCTTCCCTAGTCAGAGTCAAAGTCTCTCAGTCACGTTCGCTCCGGCTTTCGCTTTCTCCTTGACTTCCTTCATTTCCACCTTCGTTTCCTCTCCTCCCATCGCTTCCCTGGATGCTCGCACCATCGCTCTCCAAGTCGCTCGTTGATTGATCTGATCGGCCCCGCTGACGTTCGCTGAATCGTGTGTGGACCGCACTTTGTTTATTCTCCACCCCGGCCGTCTCGTTGCACCGGCCGACCAGCTCAACTTGCTATCAACCACTTTTCCATTTGCCCACTTAACTCTCGCTATTCTATCGACCAAGCCAAGTCAAAATTCTCGGATCCACTGTCCCGCGCATCGGAATCGGAATCTCTGACTTTCGCGTGGAATCTTGATCCCAATCACCTCCCGATATTCCTCGTGTCGGCCTGCAGATTGCGCATTCCTTTGTGTTGATCCCCGAGATATGTTCTAGACAACCGACGACCCACAATATTTTTTGAAACCATCGTCACAAGACTCTGGCTTCCTGTTGATGGTCGCAAGTCGCTCAGGGTAAGTTGAAAAGTTTCCTGGCTTCAGCTTTGCTTTCTTCCGTTTTATCTCACACTGCAGGCAACTGATCCAGCTCTCAGAACCACCAGACACCATGTCTCTTCCGCAAAGGCCTGGCAAGGCCTCGCCACGCCGTGAGGAAACCCGCAGTGCCTTTCGTGAACCCTCACAACGCCGTCGCCGTCGCGATATCGATTCCGGGACATACAGCGACAGCCCGCAGACCTCTCCATCCCACCACCGACATCGTCGACGCTCTCACTCCCATCGCAGACATACCGAAATTGATGACGATCGCTTGGAGCGGGGTGACGATTTGAGGCGCAAAAAGAGCCTGGTCAAACCCGAACGACGACACATGGACCGAGACCACCCCAATTATCACTATAGACAACGGTCGCATCACATGGAGACTCACCCTTCGGCGACCGGCAACGACCCGCTACTCGATCATGATGGAGAGGCAGAGACGAATAGCTCCCGGTCCATGGATGCGAAACCCAAGGACAAGGAACAACTCTACGGGGCACATGGCAATGTGAACAAACCCATGGATCGAGTACCGAGCCGCCATCGGTCGAAGAAAAAGAAAAGGTCAACCCGCCGAGTATCCAAGACTCAAACTGCTGAAGACCGGAGGAAACAGAAAGAATTGGAAGCTGCACGGCCGCCTGATCTGTGGACAACCTACTGCGCTCTCGTCAGTTGTTTGATCCCAGACTTCGTTCTCAAGTGCTTTGGCATGCCCCAGAGAGAGCAACGAACGGCTTGGCGAGAGAAGATTGGCCTGATCAGTATCATTCTCGCGATTGCTGCTTTTGTCGGCTTCCTGACTTTCGGTTTCACTGCCACCGTATGTGGTACGCCCCCGGTTCGTCTGAAGGCCAACAAGGTTGGCTCCGGTTACATGATTTTCCACGGCCAAG